TTTGTGCAAGAAAATGCAATAAAATCGTCTGCCTAAGAAAAAATGAATTTTTTTGGGAACTTTTTTGTGATTTTGCATTTTTGGGTCGGATGACTTTTTGGTGGTAATAGGTGTCTTCCTCTACTCGTATTTGGCTGTCAATTTTTTTCTACACTTTTAGGTGTATTTTGTGCAAGAAAATGCAATAAAATCGTCTGCCTAAGAAAAAATGAATTTTTTTGGGAACTTTTTTGTGATTTTGCATTTTTGGGTCGGATGACTTTTTGGTGGTAATAGGTGTCTTCCTCTACTCGTATTTGGCTGTCAATTTTTTTCTACACTTTTAGGTGTATTTTGTGCAAGAAAATGCAATAAAATCGTCTGCCTAAGAAAAAATGAATTTTTTTGGGAACTTTTTTGTGATTTTGCATTTTTGGGTCGGATGACTTTTTGGTGGTAATAGGTGTCTTCCTCTACTCGTATTTGGCTGTCAATTTTTTTCTACACTTTTAGGTGTATTTTGTGCAAGAAAATGCAATAAAATCGTCTGCCTAAGAAAAAATGAATTTTTTTGGGAACTTTTTTGTGATTTTGCATTTTTGGGTCGGATGACTTTTTGGTGGTAATAGGTGTCTTCCTCTACTCGTATTTGGCTGTCAATTTTTTTCTACACTTTTAGGTGTATTTTGTGCAAGAAAATGCAATAAAATCGTCTGCCTAAGAAAAAATGAATTTTTTTGGGAACTTTTTTGTGATTTTGCATTTTTGGGTCGGATGACTTTTTGGTGGTAATAGGTGTCTTCCTCTACTCGTATTTGGCTGTCAATTTTTTTCTACACTTTTAGGTGTATTTTGTGCAAGAAAATGCAATAAAATCGTCTGCCTAAGAAAAAATGAATTTTTTTGGGAACTTTTTTGTGATTTTGCATTTTTGGGTCGGATGACTTTTTGGTGGTAATAGGTGTCTTCCTCTACTCGTATTTGGCTGTCAATTTTTTTCTACACTTTTAGGTGTATTTTGTGCAAGAAAATGCAATAAAATCGTCTGCCTAAGAAAAAATGAATTTTTTTGGGAACTTTTTTGTGATTTTGCATTTTTGGGTCGGATGACTTTTTGGTGGTAATAGGTGTCTTCCTCTACTCGTATTTGGCTGTCAATTTTTTTCTACACTTTTAGGTGTATTTTGTGCAAGAAAATGCAATAAAATCGTCTGCCTAAGAAAAAATGAATTTTTTTGGGAACTTTTTTGTGATTTTGCATTTTTGGGTCGGATGACTTTTTGGTGGTAATAGGTGTCTTCCTCTACTCGTATTTGGCTGTCAATTTTTTTCTACACTTTTAGGTGTATTTTGTGCAAGAAAATGCAATAAAATCGTCTGCCTAAGAAAAAATGAATTTTTTTGGGAACTTTTTTGTGATTTTGCATTTTTGGGTCGGATGACTTTTTGGTGGTAATAGGTGTCTTCCTCTACTCGTATTTGGCTGTCAATTTTTTTCTACACTTTTAGGTGTATTTTGTGCAAGAAAATGCAATAAAATCGTCTGCCTAAGAAAAAATGAATTTTTTTGGGAACTTTTTTGTGATTTTGCATTTTTGGGTCGGATGACTTTTTGGTGGTAATAGGTGTCTTCCTCTACTCGTATTTGGCTGTCAATTTTTTTCTACACTTTTAGGTGTATTTTGTGCAAGAAAATGCAATAAAATCGTCTGCCTAAGAAAAAATGAATTTTTTTGGGAACTTTTTTGTGATTTTGCATTTTTGGGTCGGATGACTTTTTGGTGGTAATAGGTGTCTTCCTCTACTCGTATTTGGCTGTCAATTTTTTTCTACACTTTTAGGTGTATTTTGTGCAAGAAAATGCAATAAAATCGTCTGCCTAAGAAAAAATGAATTTTTTTGGGAACTTTTTTGTGATTTTGCATTTTTGGGTCGGATGACTTTTTGGTGGTAATAGGTGTCTTCCTCTACTCGTATTTGGCTGTCAATTTTTTTCTACACTTTTAGGTGTATTTTGTGCAAGAAAATGCAATAAAATCGTCTGCCTAAGAAAAAATGAATTTTTTTGGGAACTTTTTTGTGATTTTGCATTTTTGGGTCGGATGACTTTTTGGTGGTAATAGGTGTCTTCCTCTACTCGTATTTGGCTGTCAATTTTTTTCTACACTTTTAGGTGTATTTTGTGCAAGAAAATGCAATAAAATCGTCTGCCTAAGAAAAAATGAATTTTTTTGGGAACTTTTTTGTGATTTTGCATTTTTGGGTCGGATGACTTTTTGGTGGTAATAGGTGTCTTCCTCTACTCGTATTTGGCTGTCAATTTTTTTCTACACTTTTAGGTGTATTTTGTGCAAGAAAATGCAATAAAATCGTCTGCCTAAGAAAAAATGAATTTTTTTGGGAACTTTTTTGTGATTTTGCATTTTTGGGTCGGATGACTTTTTGGTGGTAATAGGTGTCTTCCTCTACTCGTATTTGGCTGTCAATTTTTTTCTACACTTTTAGGTGTATTTTGTGCAAGAAAATGCAATAAAATCGTCTGCCTAAGAAAAAATGAATTTTTTTGGGAACTTTTTTGTGATTTTGCATTTTTGGGTCGGATGACTTTTTGGTGGTAATAGGTGTCTTCCTCTACTCGTATTTGGCTGTCAATTTTTTTCTACACTTTTAGGTGTATTTTGTGCAAGAAAATGCAATAAAATCGTCTGCCTAAGAAAAAATGAATTTTTTTGGGAACTTTTTTGTGATTTTGCATTTTTGGGTCGGATGACTTTTTGGTGGTAATAGGTGTCTTCCTCTACTCGTATTTGGCTGTCAATTTTTTTCTACACTTTTAGGTGTATTTTGTGCAAGAAAATGCAATAAAATCGTCTGCCTAAGAAAAAATGAATTTTTTTGGGAACTTTTTTGTGATTTTGCATTTTTGGGTCGGATGACTTTTTGGTGGTAATAGGTGTCTTCCTCTACTCGTATTTGGCTGTCAATTTTTTTCTACACTTTTAGGTGTATTTTGTGCAAGAAAATGCAATAAAATCGTCTGCCTAAGAAAAAATGAATTTTTTTGGGAACTTTTTTGTGATTTTGCATTTTTGGGTCGGATGACTTTTTGGTGGTAATAGGTGTCTTCCTCTACTCGTATTTGGCTGTCAATTTTTTTCTACACTTTTAGGTGTATTTTGTGCAAGAAAATGCAATAAAATCGTCTGCCTAAGAAAAAATGAATTTTTTTGGGAACTTTTTTGTGATTTTGCATTTTTGGGTCGGATGACTTTTTGGTGGTAATAGGTGTCTTCCTCTACTCGTATTTGGCTGTCAATTTTTTTCTACACTTTTAGGTGTATTTTGTGCAAGAAAATGCAATAAAATCGTCTGCCTAAGAAAAAATGAATTTTTTTGGGAACTTTTTTGTGATTTTGCATTTTTGGGTCGGATGACTTTTTGGTGGTAATAGGTGTCTTCCTCTACTCGTATTTGGCTGTCAATTTTTTTCTACACTTTTAGGTGTATTTTGTGCAAGAAAATGCAATAAAATCGTCTGCCTAAGAAAAAATGAATTTTTTTGGGAACTTTTTTGTGATTTTGCATTTTTGGGTCGGATGACTTTTTGGTGGTAATAGGTGTCTTCCTCTACTCGTATTTGGCTGTCAATTTTTTTCTACACTTTTAGGTGTATTTTGTGCAAGAAAATGCAATAAAATCGTCTGCCTAAGAAAAAATGAATTTTTTTGGGAACTTTTTTGTGATTTTGCATTTTTGGGTCGGATGACTTTTTGGTGGTAATAGGTGTCTTCCTCTACTCGTATTTGGCTGTCAATTTTTTTCTACACTTTTAGGTGTATTTTGTGCAAGAAAATGCAATAAAATCGTCTGCCTAAGAAAAAATGAATTTTTTTGGGAACTTTTTTGTGATTTTGCATTTTTGGGTCGGATGACTTTTTGGTGGTAATAGGTGTCTTCCTCTACTCGTATTTGGCTGTCAATTTTTTTCTACACTTTTAGGTGTATTTTGTGCAAGAAAATGCAATAAAATCGTCTGCCTAAGAAAAAATGAATTTTTTTGGGAACTTTTTTGTGATTTTGCATTTTTGGGTCGGATGACTTTTTGGTGGTAATAGGTGTCTTCCTCTACTCGTATTTGGCTGTCAATTTTTTTCTACACTTTTAGGTGTATTTTGTGCAAGAATATGCAATAAAATTGTCTGCCTAAAATAATTTTTTATTTTTTTAAGAATTTTTTATCTTCAGAGTGGCTTTAAGTGTGGTAACAGATGTCTTTAAATTGTTGTTTTTTAAATGTTTATAGTTATAAATAAAAAGTGCAAGGAATATGGATGAAAATCTTATTTGACTACATTATGGTACGTAATTTCTAGTGTCGGTCTTTTAGTTCCGTCATTTTGCGTAATCTCGTACTTATTAAATTTATTTTTAAATTCATATTTCATTCTCTAATTATGTTGTATTAAATTTTTTTTAATTTTAATTTTTGTTTAGATTTTTTCTATTTATTTATTTTTTTGAAAATAATTTTATTCAGGTAAGATGATGCGTAAGCCTGGAGTATTACAGGG